AACCGTGTTTGGCTCTGTAGGTCTCAAGTCTGGGAAAGGGTGAGAAGACCCCCAAGGTCTCCCGTGACTCCAGTCCCAGGAAACGGCAAACACCGCAAGGAGTAGGAGGAGCCTGTGGCCCTAGAAGATAAACCTACCAGGTTGTGCCCAGTAGGGCCTGTCACACGGCTTTGGGAGGGTGGGATTCCCCCCCAAGTATTCCCAAATCCCCATATTCAGAAAGTCCTCCGTATGCCCAAGAAGCCTTAAATCATGGCATAAGGGTCCTTGAACCTTTCCTTTGCTTACTAACATGACTGCTTCTTACTACTCAGAGTGAAAATTGTGTGTCAGATAGATGCAAATCAAAAGGAGACCAAACCAAGTTCTACCCATTCTGTTGTTCGTTAGGGGATAACAATTTGGGGAGGATGGAACCTCTTGGCAAAAGTATGGGGGTGCTGACCTAGGTTCAACCAGTAGTGCTTGTTCTAAGATCCTCACGCTGCACTTTGGTCCATGCCAATAAACTGCTCTTGTGGGGAATTCTACTTCTAACCCCTCCCCCATTCCTCTCCTCCCTGTCACCCCGGAATTATCTGAGAGGAGAAGATGCAAGTCTATAGGAAGCTGGGAGGCAGCCTCTACGTGGTCCTGGACCTGGCAGCAGGGCCATTCGCACAGACCGCACAGCCAGGCCAGGAGCATCTCCTGGCACGTGCCAAAGCCCCGATCAGGATCCCCGGGAAGCGCTCCTGCAAATCCATTCAACGTGCCCCAGGAGAGTCCCCCTGAGTCCGCCCTTCCCTTCTGTGCTCTCCCAATGCTGTGCCCGGGCAGCTGAGGCGGTGGACACCCCTCGGCCCCCTCCGCACCAGACACTGGTCTGGGAATGCTGTGGCACCAGACATTCCTCATGCTTGCAAGGAACTCACAGTCAAGTGAGGAGGACAAATTACTACACGGGGTGACAAGGGCCGTGAGAGAAATAAACCTGAGGTTGGGACTAGGAACCACGGTGGAGGGGAGAGAGGCTTGAGGGACAATGGAAGGTGGCCCTCCTCCTGTTGTTGGTCCAATGGAATCACAATGTCTTTCTCCTGAGGACTGCCTGGCAGGACGGTGGACGTCCCCGGAGGGTGGTCACAACCGCCAAGCCTTACCCTGACCACACAGCGCGAAAGGGCTGTGGGCCTCAGACGCCCATCGTCCGTGGGAAGGCACGACGCCTGCCCTGTCCCTGCCATGTGTCTCCCTCACACGGCTGTCAGGTTCTTCCACCCACTCCTCACAGCCTACAAAACATTTTCTCCAACTCACCGACGAGGCAACTGGAAAAGGGTCATTCTTCTCATTGTGCCACACAGATCGGGGGGCCCTGTTCTAGGCACCGAGGCCTGGCACCGAACAAGGCACACACAGGCCTATTCCTGGGGAGCCTGTATTCAGGGGGGAAAGACAGTAAAACAGAAAATAATTCCAGCCCTGGCTGGCGTAGCTCAGTGGATTGAGCTCGGGCTTCAAACCAAAGCATCGCAGGTTCGATTCCCAGTCAGGGCACATGCCTGGGTTGCAGGCCACAGCCCCCAGCAACCGCACATTGATGTTTCTCTCTCTCTTTCTCCCTCCCTTCCCTCTCTAAAAATAAATAAATAAAATCTTTTAAAAAAGAAAATAATTCCAGATGCTGGTAAAGGTTATAAAGAAAGCTAAACAGGATGACGTGGTAGACTGACGCAAGGGAACAGTAGCAGAGAAAAGCAGACTCCAAATATAGGGAACAGCCAATGCAAAGGCCCTGAGACACGAAGGAGCTCGACTTACTCAAGGAAGAGAAAGGGGGTCAGTGTGCCAGGGGCTAGGAGACAAGGTGGGAGAGCAGACCAGGGCCCAGCTGCGTCAGGTACTACAGGTGGTGGTGAGGACGGGGAATTTTATTGCAAGCACAGCCAGGTCCCGCTGGAAGGCCCTAAAAGCAGGGAAGTGACACAATCTAAGTGCTGGCTATTGTGGACGAATGGATGATGGCGGCCAGGCTTGAAGAGGTTTGGAGAAGTGAAACGAGCAGCCCAGAGTTTTACTAGTGCACATCCAACCCCAAGGCTCCTTTCCACGGTGTCACGTTTTACACACTGCGGTATAATGTTCCACAGGAATGGCACATCCGACAAAGCGGGGTCCCCACGAGCTCTGTGGTCCCAGCCTTGCGTCCTATATCAGTCAAGTGAGGACAGCTGCGTGTGGTTGTGTGGCGACAATTCAGCAGCAAATAAAGTAACATGTGTTGTACTCCACTGGCAGCATTCAACAAACAGGGAGTGTCTACTGTGTGGCAGACGCTTGCACAGTTGTTAGAAATGCCCTACTGGAGTACCGCATGTTCCAATAGGTTACAATAGTTCCAACAGGACTCTAAGACACACCCCCCAAATTTGGGAGGAAAGGGGGTTGCGTCTTACAGACCGAATGTGGCTTACCTAGCTCACTGTTGGGGGGGAGTGGCCTATGTTATCTATGTTATTAAATATTTTACCACATTTTTTGCTTCAAAAATTTTTTTTACCTATTTTCCTCCTCTAAAACCTAGGTGCGTCTTACAGTCCAAAAAATTCTTAGATGTTTAATGCAAAAAACCACTCTGGGAAAAATAAAGGGCCAGCCCTCATTCCTTGAGGAAGGTGAGGCTAGTGTGGATACAGGGTTCCTCTTCATCTTCACTTTTCTCTCCACTAAGCCAAATTTTCTCGAGAAGCATCTTCTTTGAACAGGGAGCAGAAGCAAATGAGGAAAAAGTCAATATGCTGGGAAGGCAAGACATTCTAACCAAAGGAACCCAGGATTTACCCAATCAGACCAGCTTCAAATCACGGGTGACCTTGACCATCACCCCCTGAGTGAGTTTTCTATTTCTAATCTGTAAAGCCTGGACAAACCTGTCCTTCCTCAATGTAGTGAACTAATCTGGCACTATGGCATGGGTGAGGCACAATTAATGGGACCTGCCGGCCCTGTTCCTTTGAGTGGGTAAGAGAGAGATTAGAACACACATTACGAAAGGCGGGATTCTCAGGTAACTGAGCTGGTTGAGTTTAAATGGTTCTTAGAAATCTTTCCTGCTGGAAAGGGGCAAATGAGGTCAAAGTCATTCCTCTCAAGCTACCAGCAGAACTGCCAACCACCTGAGCCCATGATAAGCAAGGCAGCCCAACTTCCGTGACGGCGCTCGCTGACTCAGTTAGCCACCACCTCCAGCAGAGAATCAAGCCTGCCTGGTCCACTATCCCATGGCCCCTGCTTTTTTTTCTCTTTAAGATTTTACTTATTTATTGAGAGAGGAGAAGGGAGGGAGAAAGAGAGGAGAGAAACATAGACGTGGGAGAGATACATCAATCAGTTGCCTCTGGCACACCTCCACCTGGGAACCTGGCCTCCATCCCAGGCATGTGCCCTGACTGGGAATCAAACCAGCGACCTTTCAGTTCGCAGGCCAGTACTCAATCCACTGAGCCACGCCAGCCAGGGCTGCTTTTTAATTAAACCACCAAGACAGGATTTCTTCTCCAGATGCCCAGAATATACTGCACCTTGACCATTCTGCTCCAGGGACAAGACCAAGGGAAGCAGAGGAAGTCCCAGCCCCGGCAAGCAACACAGGACAGAAATGGACCAGTAGGTACAGAAAAAAGGAAAAAATAAGTTGGCAGAAAGACAGCTTCTCCCAGGTGAGGAAGAAACCCTGAATAGCTGGTGACTTTTGAAGCAGAATTCCATGGACACCGGGTGTCCGTGTCTGTATGGGGACCCAGGGAACCCACTGAAGAGACTTCTCCCTTCCTGTACAGGGCTGAACAGTGTCCCCCAAATTCATGTCTACCTGGAACCTCAGAATGTGGCCTTATTTGCTAATAGTCTTCTCAGAAGTACGATAATAGTTAAATTAAGACCAGGTCATGCTGGATTGAAGTAGACCCTGTTCCAATGACTGGCACTTTTACAGGAGAGAAAAAAGAGATACAGACAGAATGTCACGTGGCAACAGAGTCAGACACTGCAGCGGAACGAAGGAACGTAGACACTTGGCGTCTATGAAGCCAAGAAATGCTGAGGGTTAGAACGTCCTGGCCCTTGGACTTCCAGCCTCTGTCGTGTTCGGCTCTCTCATCTGTGGTACTTTGTCAGGGCAGCCCCAGGAAACCAATTCACTCTATTTCACACCTGTTCCCCAAACCACCCCACCGTCCCAGTCTCATCCTAGGGGCAGGACTCAAGACACACAACACCCACAGGCCGTGCCTCCAGCCCACCTGCACTTTCCCACCTTGCCAGTGCCCAGGAACACTCCTGCCTTGGAGGTGAGGGGAGCACAGGCATCACATTTCAGCTGCCCCCACCTTCTGCCACCAGAGGCGGACTGGCAGGGGAGTGTTTGTTTTTCTCCTCACATCCTCCTAGACTTACAGCCTCTCACTGAGATTAGCATCTCTTACATTGTATTCGGTCCCATCCTGGAGATATTGGGGGGAGAGGGAGGGAGTATAACTATGATACATTACACTATCCTTCACCTAATAGTGTTTATTTTGAATCACTACTTTTACTTAACTTTCTTTTAAAAGGAACTGCTACGTCGTGACAGTAAATGGAAAATCAGCATCCTTTATCCCGTGCAAAACTTATGTTAGATACATATGTTCTTAAATTGCACATTATTTTTAAGCCCATTCATTCACCTTTTTAAGTAATCTCGGGTGGCAATACTATGGAAAATACCACCTTCAAGAGCACAGTGGCTGTCTCGGTTTGGCTGGCCGGGTGCTCCGGGCGCCTAATCAGAAAAACCAACTTACACTCTCCAATCTCATTTCTCCTCCGGATCCTCCGGGAGAAGGCTCAGGACTGGAGCAAAGAAAGGCACCGGCAGTTCCCAGGTCTCCCGCGGGGCGACCCAAGCAAAGAGAGTGAGAGCGAAAGGGACTTTAAATACCCAGTCCAGACAGCGACAAGGGAGGGGAGGAACTGACCTTCTCGCGCAGGGTGCAGTGGACGTCCGAGGCGACGCGCCCTTCCCACCACGGCTCATCCATCACCGCGTCTGCAGCGCCGCGATCCGAGGCTACCGGGCTCTCAGGGCGCACCCTGCGTGGACACGGGCTACCTCAGCGGCCGCAGCGCGCTCCCCGCTCCGACCCCCCAGCATCTCTATCCTCGCTCGTCCCGGGCAGGGAGACCCTCCTGCCCACCTCAGCAGAGCTGGCGGTCGCCTCCCGTCCCAAGAAGGTGGCGGTGTCCCCTCCCCTGTGTTCGTGAGACCTGGGGGAAGACCTGGAGCTGTGCAACAACTTGCAGAATTTTTATCTTCCCTTTTGCAAAAGTTGCAGAGAAAGTTGCCGACTTCTTTAGCTCGCCCGAGGCTGGGGCTCCGGCAAAGGCCACCAGCTCGCCGTCCCAACTCCTCCCCCGCCGCCCAGCCTTTGTCCTGCTCCCACATCCTGCCCTCGAGCCGGGGCGAAACTCACTCATTCCTCTCCGGGCGTGGGGGGCTGCGGGCACCTAGCCTCTCCCAGGCCCGAAGCGGCGGACCCTCGGGTGCACGCACGCTGCCGAGCCCTCGCGCCCCGCGCTCCACGCTCTCGACGGCAGCCTCCGCAGCCGGGCTCGCCCCCGCGCCGCCGCGCCCCAGAATGCGCTCGGGTGCCGCCACGGCTCGCTGCCTCCGGGCCGCCGGGGGCCTCCCCCTCTCGCTAGGGGAATTGGGGGCCGGGCCTCGCGCATGCGCTGCCAGCCCCCGCACCCCGCGGGGCGGGGGGCTGGGAATTGGAGTCTTTCTTTCGCCAGCTCTGGCTCCGTTTCCTGCCCGCCCTCCTCCCCCGCCTGGGTGGAAAGCTTCCTCTCACCTTGGTGGAGACTCCTGGTGGCCTTCTGGGCACCCCGCGGGCCTACACGGGGAGCAGGGGAGCTCTGAGACCGAGCCGCCACCTGCGCGCACCACGCGTGAAAGGCGCAGGCAGGGTGCCCCCCAAAGTTCTGTCTCCTGCGTGCGCTGCCCTAGCAAACCTTAACGCCGGTTCCACCTGTTCTTTTCTTTCCTTTTTTTACATTTCTTTCCTTTTTCCTTCCTCCCTTCCTTGCTTTCTTTCTCTTTCCTTCCCTACCTTCTTTCTTTCTTTTTGGAACCTGTCCTGCGATGGGGAAGTATATTTCCAAATGGACATTTCCCACGAAAGCTACAGAAAGATCGTTCTCGATTATCCACGAGGCTCTAGTTCTAAAAGAGGCTCAGTAAATCAAGTGGTATTTATTGTGCTACTGCAAAGTGCAGGTCTTCCCGTACATTGAAGGAAAAACAAGCATTTTGGAGGGTCTGGTGGGCGGAAGGCATTGTCTTTTTAATTTAGCTGATTTCGAAAAGGCGCTCCTTTGAATCCCCATATCTGATAGCACAGCACTGGCTGTCCTCTTGGCTGATTGTTTGGAGATTCAGACTTCCAGACCAACAGACCTGTTCAAATCCACCTACCAACTGGGTGATTTTTGCCTAGTTCCTCATGCTCTCGAAGCCTGGGAACCCTCATGGGTAAAATGGGAATAAAAATTGCACCAACCTGTTGGAGATACAATCACTAAATAAAACAATTCGTATCAAGGGATAATGGCCATGCTGAGTGTAAAACGAACGCAATAAATAGCTGTTACTAAAGAGCCTTTAGTTTCTGACTGGTTTCCTGCACGCAAATGCTCACCTGGAAAAAATTTTAAAGTCAGCTTTGATAAGCTTCAATTGGAGCTTACAGAGCCGTTTGAATGTAAAGAAAGAAAAATTACAAACTCTTGTAAAAGTGTCAAATACCTAGGAATAAACCTACTCTAAAGTGCAAACTCTTAATGGTTGAAACGAGAAAGGCTTGAAGAAATAGGAGGTGAAAATATCAACTTCACCCACATTAACTCTTTTAGTAAAATTCTAATGGCCATGGGTGGATGGGGAAGGAATGACATAACTTTCTAACACTCAAAGAGAAGAACACCTATGGAAAAAAACTAATGTATTTTTTAAAATTCATTGCTTTAAATGAATACATGGCATTTGTTGCATTGATGAACCATGGTTCATTTAGCTTTCTTTTTTTTAAAAGATTTTATTTATTTATTTTTAGGGAGGGAAGGGAGGGAAAAAGAGAGAGAAACATCAATGTGCGGTTGCTAGGGGTCATGGCCTGCAACCCAGGCATGTGCCCTGACTGGGAATGGAACCTACGACACTTTGGTTCGCAGCCTGCACTCAATCCACTGCTCTACACCAGCCAGGGCTCAAAACTAATATATTTTAAAATGGGGGGATAGATCTATATTACCAAATCCTAAAACATATTCCAAAGCTATTATTGAAACAGTGTGGTGTTGATACAAGAATAGATGAATAAGCACCAATGGAATAATTGAAAGCTTAGAAACATAGGCAACATACTTTACAATTAAACATAGACCCTGGCTGGTATAGCTCAGAGGACTGAATGTAGGCTGTGAACCAAAAGGTTGCCGGTTCCATCCCCAGTCAGGGCACATGCCTGGGTTGTGAGCCAGGTCCCTGGGGGAGGCAGGGGGACACGTGAGAGGCAACGACACATTGATATTTCTCTTCCTGTCTTTCTTACTCCCTTCTGTCTATAAAAATAAATAAATAAAATCTTCAAAAAATTAAACATAGAATAAATGGGACATTTCACTCTGGTGGGGAAAAGGATAAATTCCTGAATAAGTTAGGCTGGGGAAATTAAGTTGGGGGGAAACATACAACTAAGAATTTATTTAAACCACCACCAAAATCAATATATGAAGTTGTCAAATGATGAAACTGAAAGAAATTAGTACCGATTTTAATGTCCTTTATTCCAGAGAAAGCCATCCACGGGTTGGGGGAGTGCCGCACCTCACAAACAATAAGTAGAGTGTGTTCCCCGCGAGATCTGGGGCGAGAGCCACTTTTATGGAGACAACACGGAAACAGGGGCATGGTTGTCTAGGAGGGTGGGGTTTCCTTACAAGGCTGTTTTCTCGGGTAAGGTAAGCTAGTGAAGGCTGAGTTGGAAGACTGTGATTGGTGTCTGTTCGATTTCCTTGACAGGTGTTTCCAGGAAGTTCAGGCTGACTTAGGCTTTGACTTGTGGCCCCTGGGGTTGGGGCCCCTGGGGCTGCCTTCATTTTGTGGGTCCCAGTACAGTAGTCCCCCCTTTTCCCACCATTGCCGTTTCCCACAAGCCAAATTCTACAGGAAAATTCCAGAAATAAGCGATTCATAAGTTTTAAATTGCTCACTGTTCCGAGCAACGGGATGGAACTTCACGCCATCCCACTCTGTCCTGCCCAGGACTCATCCCTTTGTCCAGGGAAGCCACCCTGTATGTCCGGTACACTACGATGCTTTGAGAGAGAGGCCACATTCACATCACTGCTATTACAGTATATTATTAATATTACTCTATTATTAGTTAGTATTGTTCATCTTTTCCTGTGCCCAATTTATAAATCGAACTTTGTCATAGGTATGTATGGATAAGAAAAAAATGTAGTCTGTATAGGGTTCAGGACTTAATATCTGCAGTTTCTGGCATCCGGTGGGGGTCCTGGAGTGTATCTCCTGTGGGTAAGGGCTCACTACTGTATATGAATTAACTTTATCAAACCCAAAGAACTGCACAATGAAAACATCACAAGACAATTAAAGGAAAATATGGGTGAGTTATTTCAGAGGAGAAGGCCCAGATATTAAGGCACAGAAAGAAATCACAGACAGGATATATATCATATGCAAGGCTTATCAAGTATCATCAAATGGGCAAACAACTTGAAGATTTTTTAAAGATTTTATTTATTTATTTTTAGAGAGGGAAGGGAGGGAGAAAGAGAGAGAGAGAGAGAAACATCAATGTGTGGTTGCTGGAGGTCATGGCCTGCAACCCAGGCATGTACCCTGACTAGGAATCGAACCTGTGACACTTTGGTTCGCAGCCCGCGCTCAATCCACTGAGCTACGCCAACCAGGGAAAGATGTTTTTAATAAATGTGACAAAGGTTGATCTCACTATAGAAATCTTATAAATCAATGCTTAAAACACTAACACCCCAAATGCCGAAATGGATAAATTTTGTTCAGAAAGACTGGGGTATATCTCTATGAAGAATTTCTAAAATCATAATATGCAGGGTTGACTAGTAGCCAGTGTTGCTTGGAATATAAATTAATAGCATCCTTCTGAAAAACAATATAACTCAAAAAGTTTAAAAAATGTGCCATTTGCTTCAACTGTTCATGTCTGGAAGTTTAAAAAAAATAAGAAGATGAGTACAGAGATGTATTTACAGGGGGTCTGTCACAGTACTTTTTTATTATAATAAATTATTAGAACAGGAATTAGGTAAATAATGATTTAGCTCTTAAAACATCTTTTAAGAGAATGAATAAAGACTCAGGAAACGTTCACAATATATCAGGTGAAAAGGTTTGAGTATGACCCCACCATACCGTGCTCAGACACATGCAAGAGAAACTGAAGAATATCCATGCAATCATTAACTGTGTGATCAGAGTAGCAGGGTTGTGGGAAATTTTATTTTACTTTTTATTCTGGCATGTCCCAGTATTTTTTTAATTTTTCTACAAGAAACGTGTATTACTTTCATAATCAGAAAAAAGGATGAATGTAAAAAAAAGGATGAATGTGATTTTTAAATAATCACATGAAATACTTAGCTAGTGTGGCCTCCCACGGAATCGCGTAACGCGCAGTGTTGTTTTGTTTTGTTTTTTCCATAGCTGCCTTACTTCTTTTTCAATAGCCTTTCTACGCTGGGCACGCTGAAAGGAAGGCCTTTATTATTCCCGAATTTGGAGTCCTCTCTTCCTAAACTTCAGTTCTCGGTTATCCGGAGTCTGGTAGGGAGAGAGGGAGGCAGAAACGGGACTTTTCTCCCAGGGACTGTTTTAAAAGGATTCTAAACATCATTCGTACTCTGCAGGCCTCTGTGTATCACTTTCAGGAACCTCTGATTTTCTCAGTATCTCTGAGGCATAAAAATACATTGCACAGAGAGGGCGGGGGAGCACAGAGTCAAGGGTGGCAGAAGGAGACTAGACTTTCCGTAGTAAGCACACAATAGTGTGTACAGATATTGTATTAGGGAGTTTTACACCTGAAATGTATATAATATCATTGACCGACGTTGCCTCAATCATTTTAATGAAAAAATAGCCTCTGTGAACCTCAAACCATCGCACTGATGTTTTGGGTGGTGAGTCACCGTGCGCAGGTAGAAATGGCGGCGGTGCCCTTAGCAGAAGAGGCTTCCTCAGGTGGACAGCAGGGGACAGTGAGACTGGACTTGACTTCTCCCATTCACACCATCCCCGGCCAGGCCCAGAAGTCTCCCTCCCTTCCTTTGTTCCTTCTCTCCTTCCTTTTCTCCTTCCTTCCTTCCTTCCTTCCTCCCTCCCTCCCTCCCTCCCTCCCTTCCTTCCTTCCTTCCTTCCTTCCTCCCTTCCTTCCTTCCGTCTTCCCAAAACAAACCTTTATCTAGTGCTTACTCTGAGCCAGTCATCTCCCAATCCTTTGACTCTCACATGTTGGGAACCAAAAGATATTTAGAGCAAGACCAGCCTCCCCATCTACAGCTTCCCCAGGCACAAAATGACCCTTCCAATTGTCCCCGGGGGACAAATCCCTCTACTTTACCAACTGCTCACGGCAACTTTCCCTGTTCTTTCTGTG